CGAGTCGTTCGGCGATCCAGTCCCAACGGCAGGAACAGCAACAGTGGGTGGCGATGGCCGCAATTCACAACAGGGCAGGGGTGCCCCTCTGCCTGCATCTGACGGTGCTACGAGGGAGACCGTGTGCAGGTGTGGGGCGAGACTGTGCAGCGACGCGCTGTCAGGAGGAGACAGGTCTACAACAGGAGCCCCCTCCTTGTTCTTCTGGCCGGCGTGGTTTCCATACCGGAAGAGAAATTCCTCTCCTGTTTCAGATAAGGAACATTCTCCTGCATGTGGCTGTACTGTGGGATTATGGGACTGGGGGGGTAATTTTAGCATATGGGAAACATTTTTTTAGCTTTGTTTTAATAGTGTATAGTTATTTCTGCCGGCAGGGTTTTTAGCGCATTGAGAACACTCTTTTTATTGTATACGGGGGATTTTAACTTGTATTTGTGATTCTGGCTGGTTTTTTTATGGAAATAAATGGTGGGTGTTCAAAGCCAGCTTAGTTTCTGTGCCCTGAGTGCTGACCCGCTCACTCCCCTTCCTCTTGTATGTGAACGGACTTGGAGGTGAAGATCTAGGTCCACCAGTCTTAGCGGCTACATGTGCGCAGCATTTTGGTTTGTGAGACAAAACCACGCGAGCAGCAGTCAGATTCTTTTGGTCGAGCAGTTTGAAATTCCTTTGCAAAACTAACGTTGACGTGCTAATTGAGGGGTGAAGGTTGTGTAATCGACAACGATAAATGAGCCGCTTCTGAGGAGATAAACCCGAGTGGCCAAATCATCTGTCGGCTGCGTTCGCAGCTGTTATTTAGTGCTGATGGCACTGCAGAAATATAAAACCCACAAACATGTCATACAACAATGCGAGCTTCACGTTGCCAGAAAGGATTTAGACGGTTCTGTGTGGCAACTGCATGACGGGATTATCCTGTCAAAAAGCATGACATCACCAAATCTCTTCTGAGAGCTTTGATCGCTTTGTCTTTTTTTAACTTCTGCTGAGCATCTTGGATTTCTTTTTTTTTTTTTTTTTTTTGTGCCGTTTTCTGGAAAATTGATCAGACTTTTTTATTACAAGCTTTAAAAGAGTTTTACCAAACTCCCTCCAGCATTTTGTCGAGTGTAAAAACACCTCAGGGGCAGAAAAAAGGTCTGTCAGTATCGCGTGATGACAGCTTGTCAAAGAGCGATGATGCTGTCAGCAAAAGGAAAAGAAAAGGGTGAACACACTGATTAGGACTGAGATGTTTAATAAGCTAATGTCAATCTAAAAACTGCTCATTTCAGAATCTTCACCGACTGACATTAAACCTCAGGCAAAGAGACGAAGTCCAGGAGGAAGTGCTAAAAACTGCAGTTCCTCTAACGGCCACTTGAGGCTGGATCCAAAACAGAGTCATTTCCCATAGAGTCTCATGTTTAAACTTCCAGCTTTACAGCGGAAATAAACATGTTTACAGCCTGCTGCAAAAATGATTATAGTCTCTGTGGATAGTCTCCCTTTTCATAAAAACTGCACAAGGGAGCTTTTTTTAAAAATAACTTAACTATAATTTGAATACTGTTTAACACTTAAACTTAGAGCTGTCGCTCCTCTGACTGACAGGCCACTGCATTTTTCACACCAAAAGTTTGTTTACTCTGATACAAATCAGCTGAATAGTTTGCAAATGTGTAGCTTTTAGCCATAATTTGGTTTCTTTTCACACACCAAAATCTCCAAGTGATCCAACATGTGTCGCTACAAATTGCATGGTTTGTAAGCGGTGGTTGATCTGGGCCAACTACTGGAGGGTTCAGAAGGTGACAGGGTCTCAGAGCAGTTGTGGTTCAAACCCGGGTGCGATTATTGTGTGCACATCTGCACAAGGGAACCGCACCAAGGAGCAAAACCAACCAGAGTTTGACTCAAACAAACTTTTTATTTTCTGAGTTCACATATCTGCTAAGATCCCAGTGAGTACATTTTGTTATAAGTATGAGGGTCCATGTGACTGCTTGTTTCTTTTTGACTGTGCAGACTTGCAGTAGTTTACATTACAGTGCACGAACTATGCACATTGGATGTACAAATTTTATGACTTGCAGACCATCCGAGATGTCTGTGCTTCAGTTTTGGTGAATTAATTTAAAGTATTTCACTTGTCTGTTACTGTGGATGCAGATTAATAACAAAGCTGATGACTGTTTTTTCCTCCTGTGTAGCTCCCTCTAGGATTAATAAAGTTTTTCTGATTTCTGAACTTGTCCTGCTAACGCAGCTGATCATGACTATGATTGCCCAATTCAGTTGGGTTGTTTCCTTTCATGCATTTCTTTTCAAATCGAGTGGAAGAGACTGGATCATCTCATCTCCACCACCAAGTGTGTTTGACACAACCCCCAGAGCGATCAGGGCACACCATGTCAAAAAAAATGATAATCCACAAACAGTGAATGACATTGCGTGGCTACATCCATTTACAGCCTTCTGCAGTCTTTAGAACAAATCAGTTATCGGCACTTAATTCATAAATTCTATGAAGAGAGCACTTACTTTAATCTCCAGGCCTCCATCCACAGGAACGTAGATGATATTATATCCCTGAACGTTGCCATCAGCAGGATCCCAGGTCACAGTGAGGGTGGTGATGGTCGGGTTGGTCACACTAATGCCACGTACTCCGCTCAATGGCACTGAGGGCGCAAATGTGATGAGCGTTTAAATGACAATGAGTTTTTACATAGGGTTCATTTTAAAAAACTTCTACAGTGACCTACATGTCTTTCCATCCTCAGACTGGCGTTTGCCTTCCCTGGCAGGGTAAACAGGTAACACCGACACAGTGTATGGAGTATCGGGTATCAGGTTCCTGAGGATGGTGTTTGTGGTGCTCGCAGGAACTTGTTCCTGTTTGGCAAAATTAGGAAATAAAATGTTGCTTAAATGCTTCAGGCTCATAATTGGTTGTTTCCTGGAGAAAGGAAGCGGTACGGCGTGCATGGAGCCTCACCATCTGCTCTTCCCCACCGGCTTTGGGCACATAGAAGACCTTGTAGAGACGAACAGCTCCGTCAGCAGCATCCCAGTTCACATTCAGAGAAGTCATTGTGGGGTCAGACACCCTCAGGTTCTTTACTCCTCCCAGAGGTCCTGAACAATAAGTGTTTTTAGATTTAGACCATGTGAAGAGCCTGAATTAATGATTCCAATCTGTCGTGTTTTCATCATGATTTCATTTTGTTTTTCACAATAACAAAAGACGAGGGGAACGAGGCTATTCCTCGATCTATAAAGTGAAGGTGTTATTCATTTGTGCTGGTGGTTTTGGTGTTGTTGCTTCTTTTTTACGATATCCTTTCTTTAATGAGCACAACTGACATCTGCTGTTTAGTGTCTCCATGTCTCAAAACAACCTCCCAGCAGACTAAGCACAGGGCAGAGAGGACACTCGTGGGTTCTCTGCAAAAACTGGTAAATCTGTTATTTCAGGTCATCTGATATTTCAGTTCTTGTTGTGTTTGTAATCATTTTCTGGGCTCAGGAAGGAATTCTGTTTGAGCCACAGGGTTTCCCCTAGATATATGACCCCCATAAAAAAGGAGATTTGGAAGCACGTGTAATCTGATTGGTCCAATTATAACTTTATGTTATGTTTGTTACATATGAATGGAGCACAGGGCTCTGCCATAAAAAAAAAGCACTGATAGGATATCAGCAATATAAATATCATCTGTGAGAATTATGCTGCCAAAAAACAGACAAAAACACAAATCAGGTTACAGAGCCTCCCGATAAAACTGCACCCGTCCCTGAAATGGTTTGAAATTGATGTGGTGTATCAGTGAAGATGGACTCTGTGTAAAAGGGTCCTGACAGGGTCGTAAATTCTTTGTAGTTGTACGGATACCTAGAAATATCCCCAGAGGTGTTTTTGGGGGGTGCGGGGGGTTCAAACTTACTTGTCTTTCCATTTTCAGACATCCTCTTTCCATCTCCTGCAGCATAAACCGGCACCAGGGTCACAGTGTAGAGAGTGTCGGGCTGCAGTCCTCGCAGGATGGTGGTGGTTGTGCCCGCGGACACAGTTTCCTAAGTTTAGCAAGAAAATACACAAATTAGCTGCTCTGATGCAAACATATAGTCAGAAATAACATCAAGCTTAGGGTAAATCCTCCTCGCCAGCTGTGAAACACAGTAATTTATCTCTAGTTGCTGCATGTAACAGGGGGCAAGAGTCAAGTCTTTTTTTTACAATATGTATTAGATTTCTTTATAAAAGTTTAAAATGGGTGTTTAAAGGCCTAAAAGTTTCAGACATGATCAGGCAAATTGGTGAGTAATTCAAAGTCACAGCTGACAGGAAGCTGAGGATGGTCCTACCATGCTCTCATCTCCTCCAGCAGCAGGAGCATAGATGACTCTGTACTCCTTCACTCGGCCCTCGGCGGGCTCCCAGCGCACATTCAGGGTGGTCATGGTTGGGTTCAGCACCTGCAGGTTCCTGACTCCGCCCAGAGGCTCTGCAGGAACACAAACACAGGTGAAACAGGGCGAGCTTTCTCTTTTCTGTCCTTCATCTTTTCCTGGAGGATTGCGATCAAAAGCTTCAGCTAGCTCCTTTCAAAGCCAATGAGTCACTCTACGTCAAGATCGTTCTTGATCTTTGACAGCGTTTCTCTGGGAGAAAATGCTCCCCTCAAAAATGTGACTGAAAAGTTTTTCTGTGTGGGAATACAGTTTTTAGAGTTGAAACAGGGTAGTTGTTGCATTCTGCACAAAACAAGCTGCTTAAAGATGTCACTTGCAATAAATTAAATCATGCTTTTCTTAATTTTTCAGGGGATTAAAAAAAAGTGACACCTCATAATGATTTTTTGATCTTTCTATCGCAAAATATAATATGATGGTGGTTTTTAAAATGTGTTTGATTAAGATTTTCTTCTAGATATGGTTTCTTTTACTGTAGCACATGCGCTTTTGTTTAGCCAAAGGCCAGAGATAGCAGGGAAATGTACAGACTCCTCCTAAGTAAGGTAAGACAGACTCATCGGCTTGACTACGTAACCCCAAAAGACAAATTCTGAGCCAAGAAAATGCTATTTTTTCTTTTTTGTTTACTAAAAAATTCTGTACAACTGAAAGCAACTTGTATTCATGCAGGAAGCAGATTTCACTATAGCAGATATTTAATGTGAAACTCTTTGTCTCTGGATGTGAGTCTTACTGGTTCTTCCTTCTTCTGAGATATCTTTGCTGATGCCGGTGGCATACACCGCTGCGACGCTGATAGAGTATGGCGTGTCAGGCTCCAGCTTCTGCAGGATGACGCTCGTCTTCTTCCCTCCAACCTGCGTCTGTTCACAGGAAACACGTTGGCAGTGAGACTCGTGTTCACATCGGAGAAACACAGTAGTTTATCGGAGCTTAGTGACAGGTGGCTGACTCATGAAGAAGAACGCCACAAATGGCAAACACAAATGAGAGAAACATTTGCTGCCAGCTGTGAAATAAAAAGTCTTTTTGTTTTTGTTTTTAATGTTTGTTATATGTTTTAATGTTTTGACATTTAACGGATCTCAACTGGTCATGGCAGATGGCTTCTTCCCACTGTCACCAAGTGCTTGGCTCAAAGGGGATTGTTTGATTATCGGGATATTCGTTTTATTATTGTAGACATGATGAGCATTTAGAGGGAGCATTTGGGAAATGTTGTAGAAAACACCTGCATTGATTTTAAACAAAATGGGAGCATTTCCAGGAAGTGACAGACGTGACGGTGATGTAGCCGCTCGTTGTTTAAAGGAGTTCAACGTGTTCCTGCCTGGAAGTATAGAGCAAACACACTGAAAACTCATTTGTCCCAGCTGACTCTGATCTTTTAAATGACTCTGTATGTTTTTAATGTTGCTGGGGAGGTTTCTGGACTTTGACAGCTGTTTACTTGATGTCTGTGTGATTTCTGCTGACTACATAACAAATGAACTCTCAGAGATAATAAGGAAATCCCAGTTATTTGCTCCTTAATAGTTCTGATTACTATTTTCGTGTCTCTGAGACAGAAAGACGAGTACATGCCAATGTGTGCTCCTCTATTTCTGCCCCTTAAAAGCCACAAGTTGGCTCCACACAGTTGGAGTGGATGGATTTATATGTATATTTCTTTGAGTCATGTTGGGTTACTGCATTCGATGTTCCTCTGCAGGAACACGGATCACATGAAAATAAAAGCATTTGGGGAACAATGTGCCGTGAAAGACAATTTACTGTTTACTGTTTGCAGCTGGTCTGGATCAGATATTTGAAGAGTAATGAAAAGCTGCACACCTCCACCTCCTTATCAGCTTGTCTGTGTCCTGCCTTCGTGTGGAAAACTACCACAGCATGAATCACATCACAGCCACTTATGAAACGATGGAAAACTTATTGACTGACTTATTTATTAAATCAACATGAGTTTGTTTGCCTGCGCTGTAAACAAACACCAGCTGATCTTCTGTGGCGAATGTTTGATGTCATCTGCAGTTACCGCCACTGACCACAGGTGTCGCCACACCGGCTAAAATGTTTCAGCCTCTAAATGCGCGATCATTTATCCGGATCTCGAATCATCAGCCCTCCAAAAATTCAAGCAAAGCCCTTAAGTGTGCAGTGGCTCCCAGCGTGGCATGTTTTGGAGAGGCATCCACTGGTTATTAGGATAATGTCAGCAGAGTATTTACATCATTTAGACTTCTTTCTCTGAGAGATTTGAAATCTAGTAGACTGAGAAATCCTGAGCAAACAACTCTGCAGTCCATCACACAGTGGACGCAGCGCTGTAAACACATCCACAGAGGGCATAAACAGTTTGTGGTAGCTAAGGGATAAATTACTGGAAGCATCACATCCCATTTACATCAGTATTTTAGGTATTTGGATGTTTCATTTTATTCTGGGAAACATACAGAAGGTGAGTATCTTGTTTAGAGACAGTGGAGTGTGCTAATAAAACAATCAGTGACTCCTGTGGGTACTATACTTGAGATATTTTTTTTAAATTTTTTAACCAGATAATTATTATATGAGGTAACTTCGCTGCTCTAACGCAGCACTCAGTAAATGAGCCAAATATTCATCTAAAGTCTCAGAAATAAGATGACACAGAAATCATTTGTCTGAGCTTTTTTGTGAAATATGCCACAAAAAGTTTTTTATACGTGCTTTTTCTAGTTTAATATTGCAAAGTTTTGGCTTGTCCAACAAAGGATGACTTGCAGCTAGAAGGTTAATCCTGTGTTTTCAGTGTTATGAAGGTGGTGCCATGGCAACATGCTTCAGATGTAACTTACTCCAAGCCAGGTTATGATTGAGATAAGAGATCAACGGTTATGAAATGTACCAGTGGCTGCAGTTTGAAAACTGCTTTCTGTAATAATTAATATATGTTTGAATTCTTTTTGTATTGAATTATTATTTAATTAATTACACATGTAAACACAAATTTAATGGAATAACAGCTGTAATCTGTCAAATTCTCTTTAAACTGCACAATATGAAAATTTGATCTAGTCCAACCAGCAGACCTGTCTATGCTTGTGATTGGACACATATTGTAGTGCCACCACCTTTCATGTAAACTCTGATGAATGGACTGATGAATGATGGGTTGACTTAACGAGTCGATAAGTCCCTTTGTCTGATGTTTTAGCCTGATATTAGATTAAGTGGATTAAGCCTGAGAAGGAAAAGATATCCTTGATTTCTCTGCAGATTTCTTTATTGGATTAACCTTCTAGTTCTAGTAATGTGGAGTTGTGGCTCTTGTGACATTACGAAGTTTTGAATTGATCATTTTATTTTGCTTTTGACTGGTCTAGCGTTGGCCTCTGTGTCCCATTTTATTTTGAAGGTGAGATTTCTCTGGTGTCTTGGTCTAATTTGACTTCCTGCCTTCCGTTGTGCTCGTCTGACACTCCCTGATTGATTTCACCTGCCTTTAATTGTTTCCTCAAGTGTTCTGCCCTCTATCTGCATTTTTATCCCCGTTTTTGTATTTTGCATGTGTAAAGGGCAGTTGGATCATCCCATTGCTTATCACTGTTCAGACTTCAGTCGTCAGACCTTCAGAGTTTTCACCCCAGTATAAAGCTGACCTATTTTCTCTACTATACATATGAAAAACAGCAGCCTTAGCCCAGAACTGGACTGACGAAGAAGCCCCGTTTTTTCACCCAGTTCCCAAACTTGAGAGGAAACCCTGAGCTCATCCATAAAACAAACAAGCGTCTCATCTGGTATCACATGACTGATGCTAAGAACAACAAGGCTGCACGACACCAGATGCTCTCGGAATTCTGGCGCGCACATCTGATGCAGCGAGTGGATCGGAGCTCTGTTAGACAGATTTGCAGCGCTGACATCATGCCTCGGCCGTGACACGTTGTTTGGGGGAACACTGTCATAACATCTCAGAGACACAGCGACCCCCCCTCTAGATTCTTCTCATACTGCTCGCAGCTTCTTTTCAACTCGTTTCCACTGCTAATGATTATTGAGTCAGCGTGTGGGAATGCAGTGTCGGCGGTCAAACGTGGGACTCCTCAAACTCACCGTCGTGCTGCTGGATGTTGTCACCAAATAAAAGCTAAAATGCTCTGTGAGGAAGGAGCCTGGAAACATGTCTGGCGGTGTGTCACTGACCTCCTTCAGATCATTGATGTGCATCTCAAGATGGAGGTGAAATTTAAAACAGAATCCAGCTCGTACTGTAAATCCAGCTGGTTTTGTTTTTGTTGTCAAAAGCTTTTTAAGTGAGCCAGACATCAAATTACAGATCGCTCCAGTGCAGTCGGAGACCTCGAGTCTCAGACTCTACATTTTACTCCGTTTAGAAATATATTTCTCTTTGTACATCACTAAATGAGTCTACAGATTAAAGCTTTACATTAATTATACTACTCACATTCCAGTTTATTAGGTACAACAAAGTCGGGGTATTTTTTTTTTCTGGTTTCTCTCACTAGCTTGAACTACCGGAGTCACTTCACCACTCTCCGTGTGTAACAAACAAAGAGGGTTAAGTTGACGGAGAGCTAAATTAACTCGAAGAAGAAGAAGACTTGCGAGGAACAGATAATTAACTGAACTGGCACAAAATCTAAATTGAATAAAAGGGGCACTGGTCAATGCTTTTGGCAGATCTAATGTGATATATGCACATTTATATGGTGCTTGTGTTTTTGTTGGCTTTGTTGAGCACTGAGACAGTTTTGTCAGGTGAGAAGAAGCTCCTGGGATGAGAACAAACACGTCCACGTCTGAGTGCACGGTCCTCAGCCAAAAAAGGGTGGCGTGGGAACAAGTCATGGCCTCCAGGGGAGGATTTTAAGCACCTCAGTCTGGAGCAGGAGACTGAGAAGGATTGGGACCGTGTTTGCAGAGATACTGACAGTGGTCTCCTGTAGTCTACACTCCCACCCGCACCTATGAACATGAGCTGTGGGTCATGGAGCTCAGAGTAGAGCTGAAAGGGTCCAGCAGAGGTGGTTCAGACATCCTGGATGCCTCCAAGTTGTTTTGAGCTTGTCTAACTGGGAGGAGACCCGTGGACAGATTCAGGACGTCCCTGAAAGATCGCGTCTCTTGACTAGATCGGTGTCCCCCACATGAGTAGTAGGAGGTGGGCTGGCAGAAGGAGGCCTGCTTAGACTGCTCTAATTCCCCGCCTGATTTTTTGTGTTTTTTGTTTTTCAAATGTATTGTATTTCAAAGCTTTATTTACTTATTTAAACTAATTATTCAGATTTAGATTATAAGTGTAAAAGAGTGATCTGCTGTATTTCTATAGAGACTACCAGCCAGCATATGAAGTGATTAAATTAGCTGCAATATTCAACAACTTCAGATCCAGTAATATCATGTACATGATTCTGCACAAAGACTGCTTTTACTTTGGGTTTTTTGAGGATAGTTGGATCCTAAAAGGTCTTTCACTGCTAGCAGATCCTTTATTCTTGCTCACTGCCTCTTTTTTATGTAATACTGCCTGTGTGAGGGCACAGGATACTGCACAAGAGCCAGAAAATCATTCACAAAAATTATAGCCAATTTTCACTCATGGTAGATTTTGGTCCACCTGTGTCTTGTTTAAAAAAAATCCCCGATTCACCCTGATTTGCAGTCATTTTCACAGAGATTAAACTAGAGATGATGATCTCCTCTCCTGCACAGTTTACTTTACGGTTCACAATTAAACATTTATTCAAGTTGCATTACACAGGAGGGAAATCACAAAGCAGGTGCCATCAGTTTAGGCTCATTTATCAATAACAAACGAGATTCTCTGACTCAACGATGACTAAGAACAACGATTTGACTTTTATTAGAAACACATCTAAAGAACTCAGAGATTCCTTCTTGGTAACGATGTGTTTTATGTGTGAGAATGAGAAAGCCTTTGTCTCTTCAGTGCCTTTAGTTTCTCCTTCTACACTGTTTTATGTCGTTTTTGCTCAGTTTTATAGATCTTGAAGTCCCATCTCAGGAGGTAGAGGAAACTTCCCATCAAATCCAGCAGTTCATAATTGATTTGTTTCTATATGTGCTTTGGGGCTCATTTCGCTGACTTTTCTGACAGATTTAAAGCTCCACATCATCTTCAGATATTCACTGATTTGTCAGCAAGTGGCTGAAGCAAACCGGAGACCTTCCCACTAGTCAAAAAGCAGCACAGCTGGGAACCTCCACGCCCCACAGCAGAACAAACCTTCGCTTTGAAAGAGCGCGCGGGGAAAGTACACCTGGGAAAAGAATTTAGTCGTGTTGTTCTTTCGATCCCTCGACAAACAAACAAAACAGGAGTGGGTTTACAAGACGGCAGAGAGGGACCCGTTTTCTCATAAATGTCAAATTTACTAAACAATCATTGAAACTCGTCCATTTTGGGTGTAAAAACTTGAATAAACACTTTAGACATCTCTGAATTCGCCTTTTGTTCAGAGTCAGTGAAACAGCTCCAGCTATGGTCTCCTGATACAACAAAGAGCCAAGTGGTTATATCATAGAGGCCGTATTTCATGTGAATTCTGCTGCTTGGTGCACATTTCCTGCACATTAAATGATCAACTGAAGCTGCGATACCGAGGTTATATAAACTCAGTATGAACTTGTACTTTCTAAGACTCAGAGACAGAGAAAAAAAAACCCTAACCCTTTAAAATTGAGGCCTAAATATTCAGAGATAATAACCTAACAATGTCAGTGGTCAATGACAGCAAGACCTGAAGGGTTATGTTTGGGAGTGGTGTTCTGTTATTGGACTTCTGTGCGAATTATGTTGTCCATAACAAACACCATGTTTGAATATCAGGGTGTACATAAGTGTATGTGGCACCAGGATACTCTAGGCTACAGGTCGATGAACAATTTTGTAATCGTATCACCGGATCTGCTGCCATATGTTCTCTGAACACTTGGATAAAGGGCCATGCTGTCAAATGATTACCACCTGCTGGTGAATTGGATCAGGTGGCGGAGCAGGATGCTGGACAAACCTGGCATACCTGAAAGTATTGTGAGGTTGGGCTGGGAATGCCTGGCAAAGGCCCCGGTCCATAAGGTCTTCAACTCCCACCTCCAGCAGAACTTTAAAAGCATCCCGAGGGAGACTGGGGAAAGTGAGTCCAAATGGACCATGTTCAGCACCTCCATTGCTGAAGCTGCTGCAAGGAGCTTCAGGTGCAAGGAGGCAACACCAGTACCAGATGGTGGAAATCTGAGGTGAAGGGAGCTATCAAGCTGAAGAAGGAATCCTATCTATCAGGATTGGTTAGCCTTTGGGACTTCAGAAGAAGCTGATAGATGCCAACAGGCCAAGTAGAATGTGGTCCTCCATTTTTACTTAACCTCCTAGGACCTGGAGTCCACATATGTGGACATCACATTTTGGGTTATTTAGACCAAAATATTCAATTTTGCTCTACAAGGGCCTGATATCCACTTACAAGGACATTATACTGCTACTGTTCTATCAAAATTTTAAACGAATATCCTCATATGTGGCTCTCATTTTTCTTAAAAACAAAAATAAGATAAAAAAAAAAATCTGGTAATTCTTTGTTTTTACATTCATTGGGCCCCAATATGCCCAAATATACAAATTAAAAATGCATGCCGTGGAAGAGTTTGGGTCTTAGGAGGTTAAGAAACAATTCACCAGCCTATGTCATAGGCCCAGCCTAAATGAGGGCCTATGTCCTCATTTTATGTTTGACAAAGGTTTTAGCAGGTAAAGGTGAATGGCTTGGGCAGGAATTGAGCTGCAGTTTGGGGAGGGCCTCCAAGGGGACTGGTGGCGGCTCCCAGCCTGGCAGATCTCCATGTACTAAATAGAAGTGAAGACGTTAAATAATTGAAAACGGGAGGGAGGGTGGGGCACGTAAACGAGAACGAACAGCTTGTAGGCCTGGGGGAACCTATATAGATGAGAACCGGAAGGAGCGTGTATGGAGGCGTGGTTCCGCTCCTGAAATTCCGATACTTAATCTCCAATTAATGCAGAAGAAGAAAAAATGCCCTATGACAATGGATGGATGGCAGCACTGGGACAGGTTAAGAAAAAGGTTTGGATGGACTGCTAAGTTTAACATGTCTTGAAATACAGGTGTCTTCATGTACACACAAAAATATGTCAAACTGTGAAACTGATTGGAGAGGAGGCAGAGGTCCAGAAATCCCACTTCTTTCTGACCTAAACAGTTTTCATTTTCAGTTCTTCCAGTTGATCACTTCAGTCAGTGCCCTCTGGAAACATCCAATGATTTTTTTAAACAGAGATATTTTAATGTGCTCCCTTGTCATTTTCTCATCCTAACTATGATTTAATTTGTGCAAACTTCCTAAATTTATGGCACATAGACACCCTTTTCTAATGTATCTGTACACTGATGATGCCATCATATTCTCATACACAAACTTACTATGAGGGCCTCGCCTCCAGCGACTGGTCTGTAAGTGATCTTGTAATTCTGGACGGTGCCGGGGGCGGGCTCCCACTTCGCCGTCAGTGTGGTGGTGGTGGCGTTTAAAACTCTCAGGTTTTTGGGCGACGCAGGAGGCACTGGAAGCACACAGGTATGTAGAGTCAGATAAACAGCACCTGTATATGTGTGCGTGAAACGATCGGTGAAAATGATTATGATGATGTTGATGAGGAGGAGGATGAAGATGGCAGTTATGATGATGTTCTCACAATCCAGCGGGTCATGGAGCTGGAAGGGTTAATTTTAGGATGAGAGCAGCAGAGTGATGAGGTTTAAACCAGTTCAGAGTGGAGTTGCAGGTCAGGAACGTCTTATTAAATCACTGGTCTCATAAATATGGAGCTAAGTTATATATTTTTACAAAAGGAAAAGTCCTAATGCATAAAAAGGATTCTAAAATTGGACACAATAACACAAAAAACACAATTATTATGGAAACAACTTTTATAACTGATGATTCTAGGCAGGAACTATGATTAATTTGGCAGACACTATAGAAAATTCTGCAGTTTCTAACCAATGCTTTGGGGGAAGTAATCACACATTTTTAGATTGCAAGAAATAAAGCAATGGGTGCTTAAAAATAATTTGGGATGTTAACGATTAGCTGTTTTGCAACAACCTGTCTTTGGGGTTATGATAATGCATTTGTTGATCATAAAAGGACACCCTGAAACAAACCAGGGCCCTGAAATTTAGACATAATAATAAATATGACAAATTTGTTGATCATTCATATAAGTTTTTTCTTTTTGAGTAAAGAGCATCAAAGCACATTTTTGGTAATGAGAGTGGGTAAAGTTTTTATTTAAAAATCAGATTTACTTCACTGACCACCATCTCCACTACAGAACCTCTGAACAACATTAAACTGATGACGAATATGTGATGACATAATAAAATGATGTTATAATGTGAGATGAACATGACGGCAGGAATGACAAACATGTTGGGAGGATGAAACAGGAACGAGGACACTCATTCACAGTGATGGAGGTCTGTGGAGGTTGACGTGTTACTGGTCAATTTTCACACTTCTTGCATTTGAAGCCCTGAATTTGCGTTCACACCACAATATAGTCCATGTCCGTGTTGCCCCAAACCTGGGGATTTTTTTTTTTTAAATTGTTTATTGTTTAAATCTTTTGGTCTGATATATCACTTAAATAGCTTCTAATTATCTTGAAAATTGTGTTAAAAAACTGCAGTGGTTTAAAATATTTCAAGTTATATTGTAATTTTTAAGTTTTTAAGCAGATACTGGCTGCATGATAGCTAGCAACATTAGTTAGCTAGCGATATTAGTTAGCTACCAAAATTAGTTAGTTAGCAACACTAGTTAGATGTGTTATTTATTCTATTGAAATGTATTGCTTATCATATCTTATCTTTTGTAATTATCATAACATGACATAAATAACTCTTAGATTTTGTTTTTTGCCTTGCACATATTTCTATTTTATATATGATGACATTTAATACCACAGTGCTTTAGTTACTGCTGTGTAACAGAACAATGTGTTACCTACTGCTAGAAGTTAAACCAAAAACTTGCAGAGCCTCCTCACACTGACTCTGCTATGAATTAAATAAACAATAATGACAAAACAACAACAACAAACAACATAACAATAAAACAAACAAAAAAAACAAAGTGTAGACTTCAAGGATCTGTGAATGACTTCTCTGTGAGACTTTCTCTATAAAAATGTCACACTTGCAAGCATACCTTGATGATAGTATTTTTTAAAAGATTCTTTGAAAGGCCATCATATTTTTTACATTTCCATTCTTCACATCCAATACAAATTGGTCTATTACTTACTACAGCAATAGAAACACAGAGTGAAATACAAGACCACCAAAATCCATTACAGACTTTTCTTTAAAATCCTAGAACTGTGTATTTGATTAGTAAACAACAGATCTCTGCAAGTTGGCATGATTTTACCTGATATTCAAGTCTTGTGTGAGTTATTCTGCTAGGGTAAAAAGTAAAACTACACTCTAAGTGCACAAATGCAAATGTTTAGCCAACAGAAATGACTTTTTTTCTAGTTGATATGGTTTTGAATCAGTCAGAGCTGAGCCTGCAGTACATTCGTGATAATTTATGTCAACCACGCAGCTGTGACGTGTCTTTTTTGCTGAACTCTTTGCTCAGGTTTGAAGTTGGAGAGTTGTGGTGTGAACGCACAGTAAAGCACTAAAATGCATAGACATGCAGTGAAGGATGACTGAAAGAAAAAAAAGAAAGTGTGTTCTCATTAACATCGTCCTGTATGACCACGTTACCATTCCACACACAAATCATGAACAATACAATGAAAAGGAAGCTGTCCTTCTCATACGACATACCGGCTGGTATTGACTTTAACACTAGAAAGAGACGTTGAGAGGACAACAGTGTTATTTTAAAGTCATACACATCTGTGAAAGTAAAACACTGGGATGATTTGTTGGACGCTGATAAGAAGCGGGGGTTTACTTACATGTGCGTTCATTTCCCATCAGATCTTCACTCTCTGACTCATCTGGGTAGATGGCCGTGACGGTGACAGAGTAGTCGGTGTCAGGGTCCAAATTCTCCAGAACGTGGGAGGTTTGGTCGCTATTCAGGATATCCTAGTAACGGGTAAAAACAGCACATACATATGTATCTGTGTGTGTTTATTGCTAACCAGAAGATGTTCTTGGCGCTATGATGTTAGCCTTTCAAAGCAAAAACCTACAAGACTGAGCGCACAGTGAAAACGACAGCTCTTTAGGTCAAAGGTTAAATCTGTCACATGGAGAAAAAGTCTGCCTTTGTCTGCCACAGCTTTCTGTTTTATGTTGCCATTTTACAAAGTTTCATAATTCATAGCTTAAAGTTGGAACTTTAAGGCACTGACTTCATCTCATTCACAGATTTTTGTGCTGATGTGCATGTTGGGCCCAAAAACAACTTTGGAGGGCCGAAGCTTAAGCAGTGGAAAACAAAGGGAGCATTATTATTGCTGTAGTCGAACTGGATGTTTTCACTTAATCTTGGCAGTTTTGAGGAGTCTGTGAAACCATAATGGATTGTTCATGAGATTTTTTTCCCTTCGGAATGACAGGGTAATTTTGGATTCAAACAATGACATCTTCAGTTTCATGATTGTAACGTAACCAACGCTCGCTGGGCAGAGATCCACACGTTGGTGGTTTTATTCTAGTTGAGAAAATCAGAGCAGCGAACTCAGCGACTGCAGGTGTGCTCGAATGCTGCTTCAAGCTCACACTTCGGTTTTAATCAGAGAAAGAAAACTCTGCTAAGCTACAGGCAAAAACACTCACAAAGCTCATTGATTGGTTGGACATGGATGAGACAACTGAAAGCAGATGTTTACCGCTGCTGCAGACAGACCGCGCTGTCCAAGCAAAGCTCATTTGCATATTTTGAGACAAAGTACTAAAGCGGGTTTATTTACCCAGCTGCTGATAACAAATACAAATGTAACATGAAAAAAAAAACTAATTCTGATATTATAGAAGTTAACATGCCAGGTGTCTTTGGCCTCAGCCAGCTGGCGTAACGTTTCAAGATCCTTCACCTTCTCACAGCACACGGTTTGTTTGTTTTTGTCTATTTTCCATCTTCTTTTTCCTTTCACCCTAAATTAACTGTGGCAGCTGGCTGTTCCTCCCCGAGCCTCGCTTTGTTGGAAGTTTCATCCTGTTAAAAGGCAGTCCCCCACCATCACCAGTTACTGCTCACTGGGCATCTTCTGGCTGCTGCTATTCTCTCGCTAACATTTTAGGGCCTTTACCTTGTAGAAGGTACAATGTAGAAAACCTTGAGGTGACTGTTGTTGTGAATTCATGTTATAGAAATTAAAAATGTATTTAAATGAGCTGAATTATCATGAGATATCTTTAAAAATGTGTTCACCTAATGCATAGGTTCACTTATCTCTCTTGAAAAAGAGATGAATTGGTCTGTGAGGTAAAGTATCTGCAGAGACAAACACATGGCTGGAGCTACACCATGAAAATGTGCAAAACTTCAGCCAAGAAGATCTGAGATGATCCCAACCACAAGACAAGGTTAGTTATTATTATGTTACTCACTATGAAAAGTAATTATCCTAGTCTGCTATCTTAGTTAAGTCCACAGTTAAACTGTGCGTGTCGGGGTCATCATGGCCATCATAGTTTACACACTGAGGTTTTGAAAGTGTAGCTTAAAGGTGTGCTACACATGAACAATGCCGACAAAAAGCTGCAAAAGCGCAGAATGACAACTGAATAGCATTCTGGACTCACGCCTATGAAAACAAAAGAAGTAATAAAGCACTTCAGTGTGTTGAAAGGATGAAGCCTCAACCAATGCACTAGACCCTTAGATCTGAATAAACAGTGTTATTGGGTGGTTTACATGTCATCTTTTAACAAGCACATACACACATGCAGTTTGTTCTGGAAAAAGCTTGAAAATCTGATGTCGCTGCCAATTGAAACTCTGTATTCAGAGATGGAAAGAACTTCTTCTGCTGCAGTCTTTGTCCCAACTCATTTGAACACAGACATTTTTAGACATGGCCAGGCTGGTCGCATCATCGCCCACTTACCTGCTGGAAGTTTGTCTCCCCCCTTTTAACCCAGCCAACACGGTAAAGGGACACGTCGGGGCCTCCGTGTTCCCACGTGACTCTGAACGAGGACTGGGTCACCTCAGAGAACCGCAGGTTCTTGGGCGCAGGAACAACATCTGTAAACGTGGACCGAAATGAGACAGAGGATGTCTTAGTGATGATGCAACAGCATGTGAAGAATCCCTTTTTTATATTATTACATAAAGTTAAAGATATAAAAATACTTAATATTAAATTATAAATATAACCCTGCACATCATCTAAAGACTTTTTAGTGTAGACCAACCTTCATGTGATTGCCACTTTCCTAAATCAAACCCTGATTTTGTTTCACTTCATTTGTTCAACCAAAACTTAACCGAGTCTGGTTTCTTGTAGAGGTGGAGGATGCTCTGTTAGGATTGTTCCTGCTTTTGCTATAACCAGAATTAAAGCAGTTGTTTCTCCTTCTTTAATGAGTGCAGGATGACCAAAAAATATAAAATGTAGATTCATACCTGTGATGGCGCTGCCGAGCATCGGGGTCGCGGGACCGTCGTCATAGATCGGGGTGACAGCTAGATCATATTCTGTCTGGGAAATGAGGCTGGACAGCACCAGGGTGGTAATGTCGCCATTAACTTCGATCTGCCAAAGGCAAAATTTAATTATTAGTGACCCTTTTTAAAAAAAAAAAAGGTTGGACAGCTACATTTAGATCCACAGTCCTGAAATACCCACAGATTTTGCAGTAAATAAAACGTGGGGGCATTTGTAGCTCAAAAGATAGAGAGAGCTGTCTACAAACTGGAAAGTCAATGCTTTGATCACCAATTCCTGCACCCTGCAAGAGGAACTCTCCATAGACTCTAGTGGTAAAATGTCCAATATTATATACACATCTACAGCCTGAGACAAAAACATTTTTGATCTCTCTAGGGAGGGAGATTTGTTATATTTCACATCTACTAAATGGACCTCATGGCTTGGGTCACTGTTTGGTGAACTTTAAATGTCATAATCCTCCCCAGATAGATAAAAAAAAATTACTAAATAAGACTTTTATTTGATTATATGTGGCCTTGAGTTAACAGCAGCGCCGTCAGATTTATTGTGTGATGTAGTTGAGATGTTTTTGAAAGTAGGCTTTGAGTTTATGAGTCAGATTCACCAACTGAGATGAAAGCAAAGAACGTAAAAGACGTGCACTTGTAGGGTCAGAGAATGGTAGGTCATCAAATAAATCAGCGAAAAGCTTTGACATATTAAAGCGCAGAGACAGTCTCCACAGTCAGATTTTTCATTTCAGCAGAGAGTTAAGTTAACTCGGGCATACATCCAGATGTGTGGGCTTCCTCTATAGAGACAAGAAGCCTTCAGCACTAATCCTTAAGAGAAATCGAGCTGTTTCGCGTCATCTATCAGAACCTTCTGGAAATGTCAGGTATCCACGGACGGCACCGTCAGCTGCCGAGTCATCCCAGACTGTTTGTCGTCTGCTGACATCCAAATGAGAAGTTATGAGGACAGAGTGGAGCTGGGATGATGGAGTCAGGCTGGGCTGGCTGCAGCAGCCAGCGTGCTTCTGCCAGCAGACTGCGTTTCTCATAAGCACCAGGCCAACAAAGAGGAGCTGCAAGGTCGGCCGTAACTCATCACTTTCCCAGAACGAAGATATCTCTGCTGAGTAAAACTTCACCCATACGAGGCTCTCTGTGAGGCTTTATTGTTCAACGCCAACCCTCAATGACCTTACAAACAATACAAGCACTTTCAAACAGACGCAACTTTTTATTCGATGAGGGAGTGACAGCAGATACGTGCCAATGGAAAAAGATCACAGCTGCACTTACTGAGCCTGATTTAGAAAAGTTGGACGTCACGCTTCTCCTCACACATAAAGTCCTGATCGATCAGACTCCGTCGTGTGTTAAAGACCTCTTAGTATCATTTTATCCCTGCAGACCACTTCGCTTTCAGACTGCAGGCTTATTTGTAGTTGTAGAGACAGACGGCCTCTATACTATTACAATTAGACTTTAAACTTCTAGTTAGGGCTGGCTCAGGTGACCTTGAACTGTACCTTCTTCATGTTGCTATAGGCTCAGGCTGCCGGGGGACTTCCCATGATGCACTGAGCATTTCTCCTCCTCTCCTCTTTAAGTTTGTGTGCTGATGCTGATTCTACTGGGAATCTTCTTCCTGTTAAAAAGGGAGTTTTTCCTCCCCACTGTTTGCAAGTGCTTATTTTCTTAATGTTGTAAGGTCTTCACCTTATAATATAGAAGGCCTTTGAGAGCACTTTTATTGTGAAGTATGACTATATGAATAAAATGGAATCATATTGAATTAAAATAAAGACGTCCAATTTAATGCACTCGGGAAACAGACAGACATCAGTTATAGCCACTAGGTGCCCTCTCACCGTCCCTTTATCGTCCATTCTGATCAGTGACTTGGAGATTGTGTAGAAGAACTTTGCGGTGCAAAAAAGTGCATGAACTCTATTGTTGGAATCAACATTCTGGTTACATTTGTAATTTATTTTAAATTAAATCCTGATCTTTTCCTGAGCTTAACCAGGTAGTTTTCATGCCTTAACACAACTAAAACAGGGACATGGGGTTAAAGCCTACTTCCCCTCAACCTCCTTAAGCTGATTTTTGCTTCTTCTTTCAAACGAAAAACTCATTATTTCCTTCAATGAAAAAACAATCAGCACTGAATAAGGTGACGACTTAGGAGGCCACATACTGGTGCTTTCTATGGGACTGACATGAATGGGAGGCATGCTGGTTCTTATTTTATCACTGATTAATCTACAAATTAATATTCAAATCAATAAACTGAATTAATAGTTTTGTCCAAAATCTAAGCCCATTCAGTTTATAATAAGTTGAAGCAGTGAAAAGCAGCAAATCCTGACATTACAGAGCTGAAACCTGAATATATAATGTATGTGCTTAGAAATGACTGTAACTAATCAATTATTTTGCACTTTCAAACCCAGAAAGTGTAATAAACCACGACCATGAAATATATTGATCATAACTCCACCCATAATTAAACAACTGCTGCATTAGCACTCCCTCTGAGGTTTTTCATGTATTAGTCATGTAACCCTGCAGCGGAGCTAGCACACTATCATAAAGCCACAGCTGTACCTCTTTCACTTCTCCTTCCTCAGGTTTGTAGGTGATGATGTATTTGCGGACGGGTCCAGGAGCAGCATCCCAGTTGAGCCTCATGGTGCTGTGAGTAACGTCGCTGATTCTCAGTTGTCCGGCAGCCGGCCTGGGCACTGCAGGAAGACAGGGCAAAGGAAACGTTAACCACCCTGAGTGAAGCTCAACAACATCTCCTACTCTCAGCATTGTTGTGAAGACATTCAAAGACACTGCCGCTGACGCTGTGAGGCCAAAACTGAAGAGCTGAAAAACAGACAGCAGCTTCTTTTTTCTTTTTTCTTTTTTTAAAGAAAGCGGTCCTGCTTTGGTTTGTAGTGCATCTGTTTTCTATCGATAAGTTCTCAATCCAAAATTTCGGAGACGAGATCCAGCTCTTATAAAACAACAGCTGACATGAAATAAAACTCCAAAACCTCTTACCTTTCCTAAAAACCATTTCTGAGAAAAAAATGATCCAGGATGGAAGTTCTGATTTCAAGTAAACACTTTAGAAAAGTGGTGGGGAGGGATTTTAAATATTTGAATTCTTTCTGAGACAGAGGACCGCTTTAACATAGTTGAGCTCTTTGAGGTAAATAAGAACATGACCAGTGTACGATATGAGTTGGCTACTAAACCACTGTAGTTTACTAACCTTTCTTGTTTTATTTGTGTGGTGCTTTGCACTAACTAGTAGATATCTACTTCTATTTCTTTGTTGCTCCTGTAAAGTTTATAGATATAGTTTCTAAGAAATCTAGAAAGCTAAATATGGACATTTGCGGCTCCAGAAAATCAAGATGATGATGGATATGAAGGTAAATTGGATGATGAACTAATCAGCAGCACATTGGTTCAGCGGTTAGCACTGACTCACAGACAGACGGCTCACGGTCGGACTGAGGCTGACTGTTTTATGCTTTTGGATCACTGAAAAGAACTGAAGCAGCTTCTAAAGACCTGATTCTTCCTTCAGCTAAAATACTGCTGCTGGACAGTTTTTAATGAGTTTCTAATAGCATTTTTCTTCCATCGTGACTACTTGACACCCAGGCTGATAGCTACACTTCATCTATCTTCACCTGTCCAGTGTTTGGCTTGCTGATGGAGTTTTAATCCACCGACATTACAGGAGCTCTGCCCCTATTAAATGTCCTCAGAGATCACATTTTAAACAGTTAAAAATCAGTTTAACGTTACGTACAGGTGACTCCCGTGCCCTCCAGAGGCTCGCTGGTGGCTTCTCCGTACACAGCGTAAATTCTGATGTTGTACGCTGTGTTTGGTATCAGCTGCTCCAGCTGGGTACTGGTTACATCTCCAACACGTAGCTGCACAGGGACAGAGGTGAAGGAAAGTGACCGTCGGAACTCGCATACATTGAAACTGGAAGAACGGCTGAACTTGGTGTGCACAGACAAAAGAGTTGTCAAAATATTTTTTTAGCATAAATAAAAACAATCAATAAGTAGCTAATAGTCCTAATGATAGTAACTTTAACAATGGCCCAGGTAAGAAGTAGAATACATGGATATAACAGAGGGGTTTTGTCTCATACACTTCGGGGTCACCATTGGGGTCTTTGAACATAAGCCGATAACCTCACTGATTATTCATTAAACCTTTCAATATGTATCTTCTTCTTTTAAATCACACATTAAACACAAAAAAGCAAGAAAATTTTGAGAAATTTGATATAAAAGGGTCTTCACAAAATTGTATGTCAAATAACATGTGCTGCAAAGTAAGTTAATGCTCCCCTCTACTTCACAGTTGCCGCCTGATTTCCAGTAAAGACCACCTCACTGTACATTTAATCATCCTTTAAATTTTCCTCAGCTGTATAATCGCAAATGTAGGTTAACACCAAAGAGGCATTCAGTCCCATCTGTTCTGTTTATATCATCTTGATGACCTCAGGCCATGAGCTAATCCTTCCCATTACCAGCGTGTCTGAGGGCTCTGCTCTTCGTAGGCCTGGCCTGAGCCGGGCTGCAGAGGTCTACTTCCTCATTGTATCCACATCTGGAAGTAGTAAGGTGATGCAAGCAGAAGCCGGCTAATATCAAATAAATGTGGAAAACCTCAACACGCAAATAAAGAGATGTGTCAGATTTGTGCTGATCTACGTGCGAGCGTCCCTGTGTTGTGGTGAATTTGTGACATTGTGGGAACATTATTAAGTTTACTTTCTCACATTGTTGGGACTGGGATCATAAATACAGTTTGCAGACCCAAACCATTGTCAGGGATAAAGTACTGTAACCTTGGTGTTCGTGTACCTCACTCTCCAGCTGAGGCTCGGAGGCATTGATGGAATTGTACAGCAGCATGTAGCCGGTGGCGCCGACTACTCCGTCCCAGCTGACCCTCATGGAGACTGAGGTCTCATCATACACGTTCATGTTCTTCACTGTGTACAGCGGCACTGAGGGGACAGAAACAGTCAGTTTAACACACGGCACAACCACAGTCTTCTTTGGCTTTGCTAAACAGTAACAGAGTGGACAAATCTCTGTGTTTGTTGGTTCAGCCACAGAAATTAATTCCCTTTTTCAGATTTTCTGGATTAACGCTCCTTGACCTTTTAGTTATAATATACAGAGGTGGTTTTGGTACAATAACAGGATAATGACCCCAACAGACCCAAAATGTCCCAAAGTGATCTTAAAGCTTCAGGCTTTTGATGGCTTCTGTTTTTTCAAGATATTTTTCAGGACTTATTTGTTACTTTTTGTTGGATGTCACATAAAAAAATCTAACCAACACACTTCCTGGAAACACAGAGATATAGAAGATAAAACCAGGTTAACACAGAAAGGTATTTGCTGAAGAAATCTGGCTTCTTGGACACACAGATGTCAAAATAGTTTAAAATTTTGAATGTTCTTTTATTTGATAAAAGATTAATAAATACATTATTTTAAAAATAATAAAAAAAAAAAAACAGTGTGCTCCTAAATCCTGATCTTAAATAGTGCATAGTTAGAATTAATAAAGTCCAAGAAACTGCAGTTCCTCTAATGGCCACTTCAGGCTCTGAAAGCCATGTTAAAAAGTCCAACTTTACTGCAGAACTGAACATGTTTACAGCCTCGGCTTTAGTCTCTATGGATATTTTCCCTGCATAACAACTGTATAGCGGGTGAACTCATCCATCTGGAAACTTGATTAGGAGCACGGCCACTTTAAATTACAGGTATCCTGATACATTACAGGCAGCTCTAGCTGATTACTGTCTGCTAGGCTCGTAGACAGTATAAAGGTGGATTTTCCCATGGAAGATCTGCACTGGCTTCACATTTCAGACCGAGAAGCTATATTCATTATTCAGGTCTATGGTTTGGCCTCACCTCTGCTGAACTGGACTTCTGATGTGTTTGAGCCTTTTGGAGCATTATTCTTGGAATTATCTGATAATATGGCTCGCTTTGTGGTACACACTGTTCAAGAAGTTTGGGCTTTAGTCTTGACGAGTGAATATTTTATCAGGCTACTTAACACTGACCAGCAGGGATCTGTGCACCCGCACAGTTTATGGACGCAGCTTTCTAACCAAATTAACTACCTTTAGCTGAAGACTTAGCACCCAAGCCTCTCATCAAAATAAGGTTACTTTTAGGACCAAGAAACAAAAATGCTAACAGGCTTCAAACCAATGGGAGAAGCTGGCTATATCCGTCTTTTATTTACAGTCTATGGTAATCGCATTAAAACCCAACCTAATTTTTTTGTATTGGAAAGCGAGAAGAAAGGAGGATGAGTATTTCACACTTTTGCTTTGAAACTGGATGTAAGCTTTTAAACACCCACAAATGTGTGAATTTTGGCTTTTTAAGAGTGTGGCTTTGCAAAAAAATCCCACCTCCTTACTGTTTTAGCACTATGTGACATCATGATATATGTCACCCCCACCCAAACCCACAGACCCCAGACCTTTATAGACACTGTTTTAAGAAGGACATTATGACCTAATCGAGTATTAGTTTAAAAATTACAGTAAACAAAGCCACAGTAATCTGACAGCTGCTGGCCACCGTAAAACCGACAGAAACACAAGAGCCAGTTATTGTTTTATGACAGTGAGAAGCCGCTTGTTGTAAAAATCAATCACACATTTTAGCACAAATAAAGGGAACTTTAAAGGACAAATGAACAAATAAAATCACTTAGAGCTGTGCACTAAACACGTTGTTAAACTCTATCAGTTTATCTAAGATACATGCAACGACCGCAGACCTGATTAATTTTAACAGTTGCCCCATTTTTCCTATTTCAGACTAACATCCACTCTCAGGATTGCATCATGGGACTGTGTTAAACATATTTCCACCTCAGATCAGATGCTAAATATATGTAGTATAAACACAGATGCTGGACTAGATATGAAGGCGGTCAGATGACTTCCATGGATGTGTGTGAAACAGGATAATGAGCGGAGAAATCAAGCTGTTTATCTCAGAAACCATATGGAAGAAATAGAACGCTTTCCCACAAATGTGAAGCACCACAATGCGATGATTCTATCGGCCTTCAAACCTCCTCTTTAATCATGTCTTTGAACTAAGAGGTTTAAAAAAAATCAACAAGGATGAAAACTCAGCTCTTCTCTCATTCGGTAAGAGCCGTTTTTGAATTTTGGAGAGCGGAGACACAATCCTGCTCAAGCCTCTGAGGTTTAAGATAGGCTATGAAGCTCCCAGCACACAGTTTTAGTGCTGATGTTAATGCCAGAGGAAATGTGTTAGATTTGTATTGTTTATTGTCATTTATGCTTAGAAATATTTAACCATATATGCTTAGAGGTGTATAATCGATTGTGTAGTGATAGGATGTGTGATCCTTAATAGTCAGCAAAGGCTTTGTGCGTATTCCAGAGTGTTCTGGCATTCACACCCACACTCTGGGAGCATGGGAGAGGGCGTACCTTCTCTTATTGTTTTATGGTAGGATAAACGTGTCTATATCTGTTGTGTGCCTTTTGTTTAGATGAACTGCTGGACTTCCAGACCAGCAGGGTTAGGGAAGTCTTTATGGGGTCACACTCTGACCACACACACACACACACTTACACAACGCACAGGCAAGGTACTCTTTGTTTGTATGTAGACGTCATATGTTAATGAACCTATGTATATTCATGTAACCTCAATAAAAGAGCAGTGTTACGGGGGAGCGGACGAGAGTGACTGGGGTCAAGCGAAGGAACAGCGTTTGTCCAGTTCTCTCCCGTGCACGAGAAACATGAAGAACTTTGCCTACTCGTGTCTTGCTTTGCTGTGTAATTAAATTGTCCTTAACGTTCCAGCGAATAGGTTTATGCTACAAACCTGTAGTCTCTCAGAAAGGTTTGTAAAAGCAGACAGTGCTTGATTTTATACACCTGTGGCAATGGGACTGAAAGCACCTGAATTCAAAGAATAAGCTTTGTTTCTCAGTACTTTTGCCCTTATAGTGTAGCATAGTTAGATTTGGGGCTGGGATCATCACCAGTGATGACCATCATGAGATCATTATTAATGATTTAGAGCAGGGGAATCAAACATAAGGTCCAGGGGCCAGTTGAGACTTTTATCTGGAGTCTAATATTGGACTTTTGTGCATGCGAACAGGCTTTTCGCTGTCTCTGCCCCTCTTCAACTGTCCAACCACTCCAACACCCGTGAAACATAACAGCAGTGCACACTACGTCCGGCACAGAACAAGAAGGTACAGAGGTGAAGAGGAAATACTCACATGTGGTCTCAGTGCCCTTCAGAGGCTCGCTGTTCACCTCGCCAACCACAGAGTAAACATTGACAATGTACTCGGTCAGATGCGACAGTTTCTGCAGCACTAAGGTGTTCACGGATCCGTCGACCAGCACCTGAAATAATAAAGGACTGGTTATCATTCCGTAGCTGGTAAATTTCACCTCAGAAAGTCAAAAAACAGAGTGTCTGGGATCAAAAACCAAAGAAGCCTCTCTTCGTGATGTCATTAAAACTTTTATCTGTCTTTTCACCGTTGGATAATTGTAGTCTGCTGAGCCTGAATCTATTGTGCTGGTGGGAAAGTCTTCGTGCGGGATGTTCAACTTGGCTTTGAAATGGCGTCACATTCCTGCACTATTCTGCTGGAAAATCAAACCCAGCCGAGAAATAACAAACAAACACAAAGAGTCTGCAGCTTCTCAGACTGGTGGACTCTTCAGTTTGGTAATCTGGAAAATATCTCCCTCTTATCAAGTTATTTGTGTCTGTGATTGATTAAGCTCAACCTGTTTCCAATGGATCTCGACCACAGTTTTTCTTGACTCTACTGGTGTGACCTTACCTTAATCTTTATTGAATCAGACACTCAAGATTATCAAAATAGGATGGGAAACAAGCTGATATATTCTCTTTATTTATTTATTTTTTAGCACAAACTTTAGATTTAATTTACTGGAAGCGACCATAAAGATATATTTGTTTGCAATATGGAGCCAGGATTATACTTGCTTGCAGAGCAGTGAACCCTTGCTCTGGTAAAGCCACTGTGATCTGTAATGTGCCTATAATACCTATAAGATCTCTCAGTATGTTCATCTGCTTTGTAACAGATGAACATACTTCAATACATTAAAATAAAAAAAGGTTTATTTTGCAATAGTTTTGCTGGTCCAGCCCACCTAAGTTCACATTGGGAAAATGTAGCACATTAAATAAAGGGAGTTTCAGCTGATATGAACACTCACGTTACATACCATGCTATTGTGGGTTAAAACTAGCTGATAACGACTAATAATATATATATATATATATATATAT